ATTGTTGTCACCAACTTCTGGCTGCAATCCCTGTCAGAGTAGTAAAAGCCAAATTTTATACAATAGGGTATTTTGGTCTATTTTCATTAAAATTGATCATATTTGAAATTTTTTTTTTTAAATTGCCTTTTTTCAAAATGCACATTTAAACTTGATTACATTTTCAATTTCCCTAAATAGTATGAGGAGGGAAGGCTAGGTTTTACAAAAACATCAAGTACAATGATAACATCCAACTTAAGCTCAAAATACACGTTGTGAAATATCAAGCAGACTCGTTATCAAGTTCAAAATCGTTATTTGAAAACGATTGTTCAAACAACCCACTTGTGTTTAGAGATGTTAAGCTGGACAAGTTATTCAATGACTTGACTATTGTCCTAGGCGAGCTACAGGCGCAAGCTAGCAACAAATCACTCATGTGAGTAACTCATTGGCTTGCAAACAAGTCAACTCACCTAAGGCTCATGAGCAGCTCATATTTGAATTACAAAATGTAATTTGCAATTAAAAAAAAGCGGCGAGTTGCAGGGGTTTTGACTTGTCCTAGCAAGAGGCAAACTCGTGGGGCAAGGAGCCAACTTTCTTGAGGTGAGTCTGCTTGCTAAGCAAGACGAATCGAGCAGCTCGATTTGCTCCATTTACCATTCCTGCTAAAGTTCCTACACTTTTGCCTTTTGTTTAATGGGAGAGAAAACGTGTTTGGCATGTGGTGATATTAGGCACTAATATTGGATTGCATTGTAAATTGCTCCATTATTTATTCCTAAAAGTTATTGGCGCACTATGGCAAAAGCAATAGAAGCAAAGCAACAACATATGCATAATTCACGATTAAGGTATGGAATAATTTAGAATTGTCACCTTTTGGAGTAACATAACCCTTGTCTCAGTCTCTTTTTTTCCCATCAAAATGCATTTTTCAACAGTAATTCGATTCATTTTAACTACATATTCATCAATAAAATAATATTACACGTAAATTCAAATTTTTTTTATTTTTTAAACACTTAATCTCCATCATAACACTGTTGCAAAATACATCTTTTTTTTATTTTTTGAGAAAAAATGGTGCTAGAGCAATGTTATAATTGTAAGGACGAATATATATGTGCACTATCCTTCTTGTTCTCCAATATCGTGGCTTGAGACCAACCTTGCGCACATTATTGGAATAAATATTGCTAATCAGTTTCACGAATGGAATTATTTAATATTTATTATTGGGAGATATTAATGTGTTTGTCACATCATAAAGAAAAGTGCAAAAACCTAATGAGATAGGATCTTAGTCCATTCGTTAGCCCCGCACATGAAGTACGTGGTACACAATTAGTTTTGAGTCTTCGTTCTCATCATTTTTCCTTAGCACCAATCTGAATTGATTGCCATTACCGACAGTTGAATTTGCTACGAGTTCGACTGAACTCAATTGACTATAAATTGATCCTCCACTTATCATTTTTCTTCGCGTGTATTCTCGTGTCTACAGTTAGGTGAGCCTTTGTGGCCTGAGGATGCGAGTGAAAAGACTTTAACATCCGAGAACTTTTTCCTTCTTGACTTTTAGCCAATGTTTGATGAAAATTATTTATAGCCCGTGTTTGATGAAAATTATTTAGGAAAAACAATGTTTTGAATAGTGAATTTTTGAAGAATGTATGGCTAAAAAGTGGGGAAAATTTTGAGTTTACGTGCACAATATTTCATTATGTGAATATGTTGTTAAAAATGAATATGTAGAAAAAAATGAAATAATAGTTACCAAACATGGGCTTAATCCTTGTCTATTTTTTTCCTCGAATCACGTGAGTAAATTAGAATCGAATCAAATCCATTCAATTAAAATTTAACCCATTTCGGATCTTAAATCTATTCCGTGCTTAGTTTTAACTACACAATCAAAATTTAATATGAGACGAGATAGAAATAAATTAAGTGCTTGTTTGGTAAGGATTTTTGAGGGAAGAACTGATTTTAAATAGTGATATGATGGGAAATTTGTGGTTGAAAAAGAAGAAAAAATTATTGACGTGATGTAAAATATTATTTTATTGAAAAATGTGTGATTGAAAGTGAAAATTGATTTTGAGAATCAGAAACAAACAACCCGTAAATATCTAAAAAAAAAAAATTGTTTATCATTTTGTTTTCATATTTAGACCAAAGTAAATGCACGGAGTCAAGATTAAAACCAAGCTACTTTGATTTGCTTCATGAGTTGAATATTAGGTAGAACTGACATATATCACAGATAAATGGTTGAAACTCAACCACGTGATTGCAACGAATTCTATGAAAAATGTCACATCCGAGGAAAACGAATTTCACTTTGACCGTTTGATAGTAACGTGGAAATGAAAATCGAATTCCAAGGTACTACCACTTTAACCTGCATTTTCTTTTTTTTCATAAAAAAAATGAATTCTTATGGGTTTTTATTTTTCAACTAATATGAAATTGAAATTTTTTTCCACCTTTACCTATCAAACAGGCACTTAATATTAAAAAGTTGGCTCAGAAAAAGAATTGTCTGCCATCGATTTTCCATTTATCCGTTTCTTATGCATAACTTTTTTATTCAGATTGCTATATTCTTGAGATGGCTGTTTAAAGCATTTGGGTTGAAAAGTTTATAAAGATTTTGTTCTAAAAATAGCCGCGCAGAGAACTTTTGACGCAGAAAAGTGTGTTTATAAAAAAAATAATAAAAAATAGGTGCACCGAGTAAATTTTCAATTACACAATTTTATAAGAAAAAAATGAATAAAACGAGATTAGATGGTTATCTCACTAATTGACATCATTAAGTTGTTGACCAGGTTTTATTTACTGATAACTTGTAAAACGCTAAAATTCAACGACGAGTGACCCAATATTAATTTTTTATTATGTACCAAAGAAATAATACTTTGACAATATATGCACATAAAAAGGGAAAAAAAAAAAAAAGTTTGTCGCATATATCCAAAATATAATAACTAAAATAATTTGACACAAATGCTATAAATTGCATCGAATAGGGCTACACTATGGCTTTCGCCGTCTTTAAGCTCTTCACGTCACTATTTGTTCATTCATACGAGTCTATATTTATCTCTTTATAAGGGTCCGTTTGATTGTAAATGTGAAAAATTGGTGAAAAGAAAATGTTTTACAGGGAATTGATTTGCCTAAAAATTGTTTTACTGATAATTGTAATTAATTTTGTGTGATTGATATAATTTTTCATGAAAAATGTTGAAAGTTTGGTGTCCGTTCGGCTTCTTTTTTATGGAAATTGTCCATTAAAGTGATAATTTTTTTCTACCATTGGGTCTAGAATTTGTTCCAATTGACAAAAAAAAAATTGAAAAAAAAAAGTTACCATACTGAATACCGTTCGTTTGACTTTGTTTTGTATAGAAATTGTCAATAAAAGTGATAATTTTTTTAACCATTGTATCTAGAATTTTTCCTAATTGCCAAAAAAAAAAAAAA